CTTAAACTTAATGATTTTAAGAGTCTAAGTGTATGTAATTCACTTTTGTATGTTGTTGCATATACAATACATTTTTTTATATTTTGAAAACAGCGTACAACACAGAGGACATCAACTCAATCACACTTGATAAAGAAACTCTGGAAGAGGTGGAAAGTTTCACATATTCGGCTAGCATCACCGATGTACAGGGAGGATTCGATGCCGACGAAAAGGCAAGGTTTGGTAACTCAAGAGCCGCATTCCTACAGTTGAAGAACATATGGAATTCAAAACAACTGTCAGCTAGCATTAAAGTCAGAATCATCAATACGAACGTCAGGACAGTCCTACTTTACGGAGCTGAAGCTTCGAGAACTATCACAACCATCATCAAAAATGTACAAGTATTTATAAACAATTGTCTACACAAGGTACTCAATGTCCGTTGACCGGATGCTATCATCAACAGCCTACAGTGGGAGAGAACAAACCAGCTTCCATCTGAAGAGGAAATTAGAAAAAGACATGTGGAGTGGATAAGATATGAATTATGGAAATCACCAGACCATATCACAAGGCAAGTGCTAACTTGGAATCCTGAAGGGAAACAGAAAAGTGGAAGGCCGAAAAACACATTACGTCGGGAACTGAAAGCTGACATGAAAAAGTATGAATAAACACTGGAAAGAACTGGAAAGAATTACCCAGGACAAAGTTGGATAGAGAATGCTGATAGGTGGTCTATGCTCTTTCGAAAGTGGTAACAGGCGTAAGTAAGTATAAACAAGTAGTACAGTAAAAGAAAAAAAATTTCATCCGTAGTCGGAACTGGATAGTTTTCAACATCCAAGTTAGACAAATGTTTCTTAAACTGAAGTCATCATTTTTAAAAATGTCTGATTTAGACACACCAATCTAAATCCTATCATCATCATCAGAAAGAAAGAAAGAAGAAAAAAATCATATGACAAAAAGTAGTATAAATTAAAAATAATATTTTATACAAACTGATTGAAACTGAACATATGTTTTTTTGTTATTTAGTGTCCGGAAATATATATATTCTAAGTTAACTATGTTATGAATGAAATTGCGAAATGGTAAAGTGTTTACATCAAAATATCAGTGAATTATTATCTCCTTTCTTTTAATATTATCAAAATACTTTTGAATTCAACAAAACATTCATCAAACTTACATAAATTACAATTTCACATGATGATGATGATGATGATGTGGTGGTGGTGGTGAATAAACGGGTTAATTATCGCTAGTCATTAACTAAATATCGTTTACAAGAAACTAACTAGTTCATCTAGGATATGTGACGCTTGATTTTGATAAATGCTAATTCATAATACAATGTTTCTTTTAAAAAATAATAATAACTAGTCACATTTACTGACTTACCTCATACAACCAATATACAGTTATAATTTCACAAAGAAAGAAGTTAAGAACAACTAAATTGGATAACATTTTTATATATATTTTTATGTATACATCTAGATCTGAAATAAGTGGATGGGTGATTTGATGTTGTCTAGTAAACAACAAACTATATTTCTATGTATAATTGGATGAAAACATTTTATTGACAACTTCCTTGTATGATGATTACAAATCTTTTGTAAGACACCATAGAAGGATTTCAAGACTTTATTTATATTAGCATTGTATCATATTCAACTATCATGAATAGTTGTAGAATTCTGTGTCTTCTTAACTTCATTGCAGTGAAGCCATATCACAATTCCATAACTGTTTAGTTTGATGCATTTTTACATCATGCTTTGACTCATCTACCTTACTCAGTACACACTAAACAAAATAATTAAAGACTGATCGTTCTAATCTTTAGTTTAAGAGTGTTAGAATCAAGTAAATTAGAAGGCTAACATACCACAATTTCCAGTTTAGTATTAAGTTTTAGTAATATTAATTTTTATTTATTGGTGATTTTGGGAAATTAAATTAAAAAGCAATTCATTACTTAAATAGTAGAATAATTTAACTGAACCTCAGCATTGTTTCAACGATTGTACATGTGATATGTAATGAATTAAACTATTTCGACAAACAATTTTTGTAATAATACACTACTGAGAGCAATAAGAAGAAATATAAATGGAGAAGAAGGTTCCATACTTAATTACATGGGTTTTTCTCTATATGGTTTTTTTGAAAGCCTGCTTGAATATCTGGGCTACCTGTTCCTCCCATTTAAACATTCTGACAATTTATCTGTTTTTGTTTGTTTTGACACATCATTAAGTCTATTAAACGCAAAACCTATTCAGGCGCGTTTATGAAAAGTTTACGACCTTTCACTGTACAACTTACAAGGAAATAAAATCAGAGACATCACGGTGGCTGGCAATATGCATTGAAAAGAATGAACATTGTCCAGATGTCTATCCCTTGACTCCTAACATCTAACTGACGATCACTCAATATTTATCGTCAGAATCAATCAAGAAATAAGAAAAAAAGGCTTGTGGAAATACTTTGTGCTGAGAATTCTATACTGTACTAAAAATAGAATACTGAATAAAGCCACCAATGATTATATATATATATATATATATATATATATATATATATATATATATATTCGAATTATAACTTTCCATTCTATCACTGTTCAACATTTCTTCACATTGAATCAATGTAAAAATGAATCAATAGACAGAGTGAGATAGAAAGAAACAGAGTGAGAAATAGAGATTGACAGAAAGGGAGAGGTAGAGAGCCAGAGAAAAAGAACGAAGAACTAGAATGCAAAAAAGTAGCGAACCAAAACTAGTTCAAAGAGATTCATTTGTTGAATAGAAAAAAGAATCGTGAGTACAAAGTGGGTTAATTTCAATTTTTGGAAACAATCTACAAAAACAAGCAAACAAACAAGTGAATAACGAGACAATGACGCACGTAGAATGTATTTTTCTTTTTTCTTTCTTTTTAAATAAAAAGAAGCTTGCCATGACAATAATTGCTGTGAATAATGAACAAACAAATCAATAAGATATTAGTTTTACATGGTTTCTACTTGTTCACTTATTTGATTCAATTTCCCTTATTATATTTATTAGAGGGAGAGAGAGAAAGAATTAAACAGATAAGAAATCGATGTAACTATTGACAGGCGTTATCTATTCACAAATCAAAATTATTAAACATTATTAAACAGTAATTACTATTATTATTATTATTATTATTATTGTGATGCACACCGAAATCTTGCATATAGATAAGACGTATTTCAGTTAAGTGAATCATTTTCTTCCAATCAATATAATTACAAAGGAAACTGACAGGTAGGAAAACAGAGTGATGTATTTGTGTGTCCTGAATTCCATTGATGAATATATATGTATATGATCTGTTATTAGTTTTTTTCTTCTTTCTGTTTCTATAATCCTCCTGATTACAGTTCATTTCAGTTTCAACATTTTATAATATCATGCTGACCTTTCGCTTTCCAATTATAATTCCCCTCTCTATCTTCATGATGAATATTCAAGCCTTCGACACTAAAATTGTTCCTAGTTTTCCTGGTACAAAAAAAAACCCTATGATACCAATGTTTATATCTGCCTCATTATTATCATCTTTCATGGAATTTTATTATCACTATTGTTATAATTATTATCATCTTGAAAAATAAGTATATATTTGCGATTGTACAATTTTGAAAATGAATACACCGAAAAAAGAACTCTCCGCTGAATCAGTCTTTGTTAGTTTAAGTCTCAATGGGTATATTCCGTTTACTTAAAACATAAATTTTTATTTAGTTATCAATTAGTATAAACATCTCTGTTTTACAAGGAGTTATTTGTAGTCCGTGTTGCTCAGCTATAACATATGTACTTCTGACATTTAGTAATATTGTATTCCGTTAAAAGGGATGAATAATTTATTTAATTTTGCACTTATTCTTGTTAATGAGTACTAATCAGTATGGAACTTAACTTTTGAGCATTTTAACAATTTTCTTTGGCGACATGTAAACATAAAAGGTTGGTGAACTAATGACAACAAAGTATTTGATATCAGCTGATTTTATTTAGAATTTTCACTTATAATTACCTTTCAATGGTTTATTGAATGAAGTCAAGATTTTTTGTGTTACACAACAACAAATAAGTAACGTGTAATTTTATTTGTTCCATAAGAGTTCTCAGTAAAAAACATCTCTGTAAATCACGCATAAGCATATTAAGTCGGGCAACGAGGACGTGTAGATGTTGTTTAATAATGTTCACTAACTCATCTTAATCCATTATCTAACACGCCAAAAAACATAGAAAATTGTTTGGAAAGATAAACGTAACGTTAGTCACTAGTTATTAATTTTAAACTAAGTATTTTGTTTTTTTTTAAACAGCACTGATAGCCTTCTGAATAGACAAATATACTCTCAATACTAGTAAAAAATCTAAATAAAAAGTAAATTATTAGTATAGGGTTGTGAAGATTGATGAGTTTTAGTTGAGATCATGAACCGATCAATACTAGACCGCCAATAAAAACCTGGAAGCACTGGACGGCAATTTTATCCTAGTATGCAGTTCGACCGTGTCGTATATGAGGCAGTTAACAACAGACGACAATGAAAGATGGTAGAGCAATATCGTAGATTGTTTGAAGTTAAACATCAACACCGTTGGAGGTTAAGCATTTATGTGCAAAACCGAAGGTTCTGAATTCGAGTCATGTGTGCGGGATAGTGGTTGCACACCGCTGAAAAGTCTCATACTTGGAAGAAACGGTGGTCTAACATTGAATGGTTCATGATTTCAATTAAAAGTAATATACTTTAATGTAAGGATATACATTTTTCCCGTGTTTATTTGGTGGTCAACATTAACAAGACACAGTCAATCAAGTAATTAATTAAAAATCGTTTATCGGTCAGATGAATAGTGATAACATAGTTTTTATTTTTATTAAAAAATAACATTTTTCTAAAATACAGAATGATTTATCAAACAAAATTATTTATTTCCACTTACTTTATATAAATCAACTAAAAAATCACCTGTCTTCTCTAAATAGGATTGATTTACACCGGGATGATCAGCATCATGTAAAGCGGCTGCCAATAGACTAGCAAAAATTTCTGTCGGACTTAAAATGGTCAGAAGCTAAAAATATAAAAAGATTTGAAGAGAATAGGGTTGTTTAGTTTTATTTTATTTTATCTTTTATAGGATGACGACTACATTAACATGAAAACGTGGTAAAAAGATGTAATGTTAAATATAAATATTGGTAAGTGGAATTTTAGTATAGAAAGTTTATGAAAATTGTTTAATTTATCGTTTAAATCATAGAATTATTTTAGTTGGTGAACTAGCAGCAAACAGAAAGCATAAAACAGATGTTATGTTGTATTATGAAACTTTTCAGCAATATCACTTATCACAGTGAAGTAATTAACTTTGACAAAAATTCGTTGAGATTTAGTGTGAAGCCGTGATTACTGGAGTTCAGCAATATTAGATGTAGGATGTAATGGATGACTATCATAGAATATTATGAAATGAGGTTAGCAATTTGAACCAATATATCCCAAATAAATTATTCTAAATATGATGAGCTCAGCATATTACATATTGGTTCAAAGTTCGGTCTTCGAGGGTGTAATGAGTGACCACTTTTCATAAGTCTCATTATAGAGAGACCGGTATGCAGTACTTTCTGAATTTCACTACTTTTCTGATTAAAGTCACTTTGCAATGTAATCTTTAAAAAAATAACGATATGATTTAGGAATTTTTTTTAAAAGTAGCAAAATATCAAGTTTTGGTAGCGAATTTACCTCGAACTAGAATAAGATAGGTAATCATTGAAAATAAACGCAAGAAACACTTGTTTCATGGCAATTTGATGCTCTTCATTTCTCACCCACAACACCAATATAGTATTGAACTTTCAACGTGCGGTGAATACCATGAAAAGTCCTTATCTAATGTTACACTTATGTGTCAATTATGTTTTTTTGTTCAGTGATAAACAAATGTTAACGCAAGAAAATGTAAACACTAATAACATTTTTGATAAACTAGTTTTTTTGCTTAATAATACTATAAACAGTACATGTTTAAAGGAAACATGATAAGTCTTATCTTTGATAGATAGATAGAAATTCGTTTGTAAACAATTGTTAATCACTTAAAATAATATTATACAATTACATAATGAATTATTTGACAACCATAGGTACATCTAGCTGACAAGTCCTAAATCGGACGAAATATATGTCCTAAATTTCACTACTAGCCACCATCCATCTTTACTTATAATTGTTTGATAATTGTTTACTACATAAAATGAATTATATTGTACTTTTAAATAAATTTGAACCTGGTAGAACCGTAGGACTGTTTCTTTTGGTATTGAACCTCTCATTAGTGGACATCCTCTACACCGGCATCTGGAAGTCAAACTCAGAATCTTTGACCATCAAAGCTTGTTTACATACGACGGATGGTATACAGCTAATAATAATCTCATTTTATCAAGTGGATGTATGCTATATTGTCTAGTGTGTTATAGAAAATATAAATTTATATCTATAAATAGAGAAAACTAAAAGAAAGAAACTTCATTTTCATAAAGAAAAATTATAATGAAATTTGCTAATATGATAAAGATAAATGAATGAATAAATGAATAGATAAATACATAATGGTAAATTAATAGCTAGAAAGATTTTGCCTAAGGGTTAAACAATTCCATGGATTATCAAAGTTGAATTAGAAAATCAAATATTCTTTCATTTTATTCAAGAAGAAGACCCATGAGAGATGATTAATATTGAGAAAAGCACAAAAAACAGAAATAATAAAGTTAATATAACTAATTGGAAAGAAAAGCATATCTTGTTTAACAGGATTTATATATTTCAGATTATATAATACATACTAGAATAGTTCACTGACAAAATGGTTTATTATAATACTGAAAAACATCCGTTTGAAACTTACACAAGAATTGTTAATTAAAACATAACTTATTGATAAATGTCAACTTGTGTAAAACTCACGCATAAGAAATTCCGCCTGATCAGTTATCCTTATCTATTTATAAAATCATTTTTATATTTATAATTAGAAATATAAGATGAATCTTTGATTTAATGATTTTTAGAGAAATATAGATGTTTAGTATAGGATTGTGGAGATTGTTGAATTTCATTGAAATCATGAACAGATTAATCTTATACAACTATTAAAAACCTGAAAATTTAAGAGTTCGCACAAAATCGAGGGTTTCGGGTTTGAGTCCCAAATGATACGATCATCCAGTGCTTCTAAGTTTTCAATGGTGATCTAACATTGATTGGTTGGTGATTTCAATAAAATAAAATGTGTTTTATTATTATCCTTATTTGTATAAATGCCTTCATGTCAATATTAAATAAAACAAATTCGAGTCAATACTAACAATAAAATAGATTACGCAACTAGTCATAGTAATAATGACAAGTATTGACATTCTGTACATAATTATTTGTTTTATTGAATACAGTAGTATATATGCATTATTCACGATTTTCTAACTGCTAGATAAAAAAATTAGTTAACGCTTAAAAGATTTAAGTGACACTTTTAATAAATATGTAGGTTCTTGTTAAAGGAAAAGAGAATTGTGAAAAGAAACTTTCTTACATTTCAATATAAAATAAACTAGGGATTAAACATTTAAGATAAAAATAGACTTTAAGAGTAATTTCTTATGAAATCATTGAAAATCAGAGAGTGCTTAACAATTGTTTCAGCCTATTTTATAAATTCCTTAACACTATACAATAAATAAATAAAAAACACCTGTATTCAAAATTGAAACCCTTACGGTTTTTGCATTGGTTGGAATATCACACAGATGTACAGTTTTAATATTCAATCTTGAGTTCAATATATTGTATAATCTTCATATTTTGTCATCGACTGGTGACAATCTCACCAACGACTTGGTTTACTTTATATATCACAGCATCACACTACAATTTCATTCGTATTCAATATATGATAGGATCGAAAGATCCAGCTTGAATTACTTAGAAAGTCATCTAGTCTCTCGAATTATATCAAAAATAATTTATTCAATGTCTATTGATATTCATTAATTTCATAGTTGATGTCAGTGTCTGTAGATAAAACCATTCTTAAACTAAATCAACTAGCACAAGCTTGTATATTAATCACAAGATTGTCTTTCGCAGTCAAAACAAAGAAAAACTGAGTTCAATATCCAGGATATAGGAATATAAACATATAAAACTGATTATCCAGGCAACAAATGTCTGTCTATCATACATAAAGTGAGAAAGAAAATTAGTGTTTTAATATTTAACACACAAGGAAACAGGCGCGTTAAATTTTTCAGCAATTATTATGTAAGAAAAAAAGAGAAACGGAATGAGTTTTTAAGATTTTATAAAATTTTTTCGGAAAATGAATAGACAATAGAAATAACTAGAATTCAGAAGAATATTCAATTTTCTTGTATATTACTGGGTAAACATTCAATCAAGTGTATCAACGTAGAATTGATTTATGAAATTTTTATTTAGGTATGTGTTTAAGGTACGAAAATTACATTCCAGTTAATAATTTTAAACCTTTCAAAAGTTTGATTCAATACATTGAACCGTAGATGAAAACATAATATCAGTGATTTTTCAAAAAAACGGAAAACTTAAATGATATTTCCTTATTGTACACATGTTTTGCCAATACGTGTGAAATGAAGAGTTATCATTTCTTCATCTCTTGACAGTTTGCCTTTTATAAATGAGATTTTTGTGAAAGAAGCCATAGATTTAACTTGTGTGCTAGTTAACACATAAAAATAAAATGTGTCTGGACTCCTCAGGCAAATATTATACCATAAGATGTTTAAACCCGATTCACTAAGTTTCACAGTCAAAATCATCATCACTGAACTACTCGGGACACAGTTGACTGCTTGTAAATGAAAAGATATTTATACTGATTATTCATTAAACACACAATGCATTCCTTCTTTTATTTATTTGTTTGATTTTAACAGCCTTTGGAGAGCCATTAAAAAATTTAGAAATTATTGATGGTTGTACTTCATAATAAATCGACTCAATATTTTAAAAACCTCAATAACTACTGATTACTACAATCGTACGGACCCTAACGAGGCAGTTCACATCTACCTACATGGCTTATTAGAATAGTCAGGGACTTCATAGATTGATCATACATCGTAAAATTTGACAGCTCATAGCTGTCCTGAAACTTCCTCTTACAAAAAAAATGTCCTGTGACCAGATAGAAGTTAATTAAGGATACGTAATATGAGTCAATCGTGATTCACTGAATCATTAACCAATTTGTTGAAATTACAGATGCGTATCTTTTTTATACTTGCATACCGTTTTTATTTGTATTTTGCATTGTACATCGTCCAGTTCCGTAATATACTTTAAACACAGTATGATTTTTAAAGTTCTAATTGTGTTTCGTTTATTTCTGATTCCAGTGCGATAACTTTACGAGTCTGAAAGCTTATAATCCAATTATTTTTATCCCGATATCGGGCTAAAGTGCATTAAACATATATACATATATATCCAAGTATGTCAGCTTACAATTATCATGCTTAAATAACATTATCAGCGGAAAGATATTTTAATCAGATCATGAACTAATTAATGTTAGACAACCATCAAAAATATGGAAGTACTAGATGGCCGTTTCGTCCTAGTATGCGACTCCTCAGCAGTGCGTGTCCATGATCTCGTACACGGGACTCGAACTGAGGATTTTTGGTCTTGCACGAGAACACTAAACATCGAGACCATCGATCAATATTAGATTACTATTGAAAACCATAACCCTAACCTGGAAATCCAGTACAACCATCCAATGTTTCCAAGATTTCACTGGCGGTCTAACATTGATAAATTCATAATTTCAATCAAAACTTAACAATCTCCATAATCCTATACACTGAGATAGATATCTTGAAAGTATGGTAAAAATTTTAAGTTATAATGAAAATAAGAAATATACATAATAAAACAAAATTAACAAAAAATATTCAAACATTAAAAAAGAGATAAAAATATTATTTTTTATGAATCCATATGCCTTTTTATTTCACAATTAACAACACGTCAATAACACACACATATGTACATATGAACGGAAGTATATTTCATTATGAAGTGTAAATTATATTTATTTTTCTTCTATAATTTTTTTATAATTTTACATAGAATTAAACATAGATTATGACATGTATTTATTAAGTCAAGCGTATGAAATAGGTTCATTCTTTTTCTCTTGATGACTTTATTGAAACTGAATCTATATGTGTAGATAGTTTACAAGTATATATATATATATATATATATATATATATATATATATATGTACTATGTTAAAAAATGCATGTTAATAGATTTTTTTTAGAAATCTATCAAATGATACAAATAAAACACCTTTATAATTAGTAACATCAGCAAATAAATATATAGGAAACTGTTGTGTCATGCGATGTTCCTATACATTATCTTTTTATACACTAGACCAACTGGTTACTATACGAAAGAGTCTGGGAGTAAGGAAGGAAGTTTATTAGCTAAACTGTGTGTTCACTCATATATAATCCTTATAAAATTGATCTATTATTGGTATATGTCTTACCGTTTAGAAACGAAAGACATTTCTTGGTCAATCACGTGCACTTATCATTTGGCCGATTTCTGAGTGGCCTAATATGTCAGAAACTTTGATTTTCCGATGATTTCAGATTGTTTTCTGAAAAAAAGCTAATCAATAATTCTCATATACATATATTAATTAACTGTGTAGTAATTGCTACATGTTAGCCAATATTACGTTAAAGTTGTAAATGAAGATCAATGACTGTTGGTGCAAAAAATTTTGTCAGTTGAGCTTATTACTTCTTTATTCTCCTAGAGGATTGAACGTAAATACTTTAGATCCATAGACGAGACAACAATTGGTGTAGACAAATACTACTGAATATGAGTAAATTTCAGTGTGATCTTAAAAGCTTTATCCTTCTCATCTAACGATTTTATATTTGTATAAGATTAACAATCTAGTTCTGAAATGGAAGGGACTGAATTGCGTACGTGTATTTGCACAGTGTTTTAGAATGATTTCTGAGTACTTTAAGGTTTACAAATTAGCTTTTTGAATTTTAAAACATAAATACATTGTGTTTAGGAACTCATTCACATGGGTGTTTATCAATTCCTTACTATATATATTTTGTATAAAAACATCAACATAATTTCCTTGTTTGTTCATATTTATACTAATGTATCTAAGAATTAATTTTAAATGAACCAAGAAGAAAGTCAATATTTATTGATCCTCATATCCAATCATTTAAGCGCCTGAAATATCTTCAGACGTACTCATTAAGCGACCAAAAGATGAGATTATGTTGTATTTTGCTATAAAAGAGAAAACTTTAATTGAATCGGGACTCCAGTACAGTTTGATTGTAAGCAACTATGTATTCCTGACCTCATTTACGATTCAATTAATACAAAGATCAAAAATTTAATAAAAAAAACAACCCTTTAAACATAATGTCAAGTTATTCAGTCTATATTTCACTACTAACAAAATTTGGTTAATATTGTGGTGAATGCTACTTATGTTGACATATATAAGTAGCATATAGCAGCAAACGGAAGTGGAATGCTTGATAGTATCAAATTGAATTGAAACGAACAGAAGAGGAAACAAATAGTAATTGGAATAACGAAACAACTGGAAAGATCATGAAATATGTAAAGGACAACTGAAGAAAGATGTACAAATAATGTATTTAATGTATGGTTTTCATATTTTATAAAAGTATATTAAATACAATGATTCATTCTCTTAAAAATAACCACATATTTTTGAAAATTAACCAATGTTTCAATAAACTCACTTCAATGACTTCTTTTATTTAAAAACAACTATACACTTTAAAACATAAACCACTCTTAAAGTTCATTGAGTTTATGTGTAACGTGCAAATTACATTATTATTTCAATAATTATAAACAAAATATATATGATGATATCATACTACTTACAATAAATAATAGTTCATGAGCAATCATTTCTTTTGTTTATTTTAGTAATACAACAAATGAATAATTGAATATTATTGTAATACAATATACATTCATTATTATATGTCCAACTGTTAAATGAATTACATTAAAGCCTTTACTTTTCATTACATTCTTTAAGAAAAATTTAGCCCTTTTAGTTGAGTGTATTAAAATCTACTGTTTAGTGTATAATGTATTGTACCCTGTCGAAAATGTAAATTATAATAAAACAAAATAGAATATACAATGATTTATGTTTTTTTTGATAAAAAAACCTTCATGAGAATGATTTGTCGTGAAGTAGAAGAAAATAACTTTTAAGAAAGATAACTGAATTTGAGTATTAGTATACATGTGTAGTCTATTTATTATGAATAATTTATTAATCTTTCTATTATTTCGCAATTATCGATATATATAGTAATAGACAGTTTTGTCAGAAGTAATAATTTTAACGGTAATTTGCAGATAGCTGTTTTAATCGATTTCGGAACAAGAAAAAACAAACAAACAAAAGTGGTAAAAATTAACGCTTAATTTAAATTCATTGCATATTTTTGAAATAATTCAGTTTGATTGAGCCAAATCTCTATTAAATCTGAACACTTTGCATTTTCAATCCTAATGTTTTAACAAGCTTCTAGATTCCTCACCATCGTAAAAACTGGAAAACACCAAATAATCCAGACAACAGAATCACATTGTACGGTTGTCCTTAAGTACAGAAAGTATTTTTAAAAAATTGTGCACATGGTTAAGTGGTTTTACGCTAATTATTTGATCAAAGATGACTTTGAAGGATTGTTCGTATGTAATGAGACTATCGAGTGAGCAATGCCGGGGTTGACACAGACCTGATAAAGATGAGAAATCGGTTGATGAGATAGTGATATTTGATTGACTGAAATGGTTGATGAATGTAATTATCATGACAAATCACCTCCTACCTTGAAGAATTTATTGACTAGTGTCAGAATACACTGAAAGAAACCAAAGACAGTCCATAAAGTCATTGATCATTAAACTAAACCATGTAGGCACGTACAGACCACCTGGTTTGGGTTTACACAATTATAGTAGTCAACGATTGGAGTGGTTGAAAGTAATGGTCTAGAATCTGTTGCAATATTGTCGGTACATTCTCTTTTCATCATCCTTTTTATCTTGAGTTTTAATATCATTTTCCTAGTCTTTATCAAAATGAATAATAGTACTAATTAAACTTTAAGAAAGGAAACAATCATTAACCTAGATCCAAATTAACAAATTCCTACATAACTTTTTAATGAAGACAAACAGCTAAAATACATATTAAAATGATAAACAAAACTCATAAATAAATGAATCACAAAAAACTTTTTAATGATGGACTGAAGATTATTCAAAATCATATAAAAATTTGCCTAGTAACAAGTGGATTAATAAAACAATAAAACATGTAGTGTTAAATGCTTAGAAAATTGAAAAAAAATCACACTTAAACTTCCAATACAGTTTTGCTTTTAATGACACAATAGACTTCCTTCGTTATTCAAATCCAGATATTATGAATATCAATATTCTATCGGTAGTATAGACTACATTAGAAAAAAGAAGTTACCTCAATAATTAATATTTTCATATTTCATACACAAAACTTTTTCTTCAATATATAAATATATATATATATATATATATATATATATATATATATATATATATATATAATGATTAAGTGAGACTTCCACATAAAGATAGTTTGTCTTGATGGTTTACTATAATATAAAATCAACCGAAAACAATTAATCAGTTCAAGTTTCCAACATATCATCCACACATAATATTTACTGGTTTTTTTTATCAAACAGAACAGAAGGTAAATTGGAAAAACATAGGCTCAACTGCATGATTATTGATTATACCAATTCAACCTTCATTTACATAGGATGGTTCTGAATGTAGACACATAAGTACAATTTATTACTCAATACCAACATCTACGGAAAAACGTTTCAATGATAAAAAATAATCACTTTCAGAGTTTACATCACAAACTGATCTTAAACAAACTGGGAAACCCTGAACAATAGTTTCATCAGAGTATAGAACAACTTATCGGTGTGTATCCATCATTATACTAGGGATTGAAACTAGAACATTCAGTTAACATCTAATGGTTTATATGTCTAAATTCATTTGATTTGCGTTATTGAACAATCATCTGTCAATACCATTGAGTAGTAACCTACTAACATCCGACATGGTTAAGAAAGTATGTTATATAATGTCACTTAGTCAATTATTACAAATCATGCATAACAGTAATATCAACAACCGTATCTTACAATCAAATGAAATCTCATCAAAAACAGTATTTATATACTAAATATTTTAAAAATTTGTCTTTATATTCAAATCATTAAACAAAACACTGAAGTAACAATGTTGTATTATAAATCGCTACACAAAAACCAGACTATTCACTATTAATTTTTTCTTGATTGCTTACTTGACTTTGTGATATAAAACAATGCATTGCTTGTAGTACATCGGCTGCATGCAACGCTGTATGATACGGATTGAAGTTGTGATAAGCTGCTTCTATAGAGCCTAAATTATTTTTTTGGAAGAAAAGAGAAAAGGTGAATACAAAAATGTTGAGTGATAAATTGGTCTTTTTTGAATAGTTATAAATATGTATATAAGTTAAATAAATATGATGGAATAAGGTTGAAAGTATACTTATGCCTCCTATACAGTAGTAATAACAAAAATAATGCATATAAGAAAATTTAGTGTACATTTTATATGTAATCAACACATTCTACAGAACGTATCTTGACTGTTGTTAGAGGTATGAAGGCGGTTATCACTTTCCGGTTGCTCACGCCATGCAAGGCTTCTTCTAGAGGTGTCTGAAAAAGAAATTCGGTTAGAGTTGGTCTTTGTGACCCAAGAGCATAACCGCAGTATCCAAGAGATAAATGCTTAAGGACGGTTATACACGACCATTTTGTGGGTAACCTTTGTGTTAACTCCGTACTTGTTGAGACCTTGCCGACGGAGACGGACATCTGTGGGATAAGGCGAGGTGTGCATTTTTAGAGTCGACCTTTTCTAACCCCACTCTTCCTTTGTGGGAAGGTAGTACTGCTGTTACGCTGATTGTCTGAGAGACTCCTCTTACTTACTTACTTACTTACTTACTCCTGGTCGTATATATATTTGTCTTTATATCTTTTTGCTTTACCAAGTAGCAAAATAACTATATGTTATAATAATTGCAACACAGTCAACAGATTTTGAACAGCTTCAAGGACTAGACAATTATGAAAGTGATTACTGCCCAATAATTAATCAATGTAAATATTCGACTTCCATTAGTAGTTATTTAATGCCTAAATATTTTAATGGTAGATCTTCAGACTAGCAAAATGGATAATACCGGTTCGAATCCAACAGAGATAATTATTTTGTCAACATTATAAATATGTTCTGCTAAAAAGTAGTAACTAGAAGAAAATGTTTATCTTAACAAGAATTTACAATCATCTCACATCAATTGTATTTACATAATGAGTAAATGAGCGAAGTAACGTGACAAAATAATTGAAACTGATCGTTTATTATTCGCCAGATCGAAGATATACTAAACATGTTAATAGAGAAAATTAGATTTGGAATTTACTTGGTATATTTCTTTTTATTATTACACAAGTTCAATATCGAAAGAAATCAATTAAAAGTGTTGCACTCATTTCTCAACCTAATAGAATCTAAAATATTTTATTTAGTTTTTAGAATATCAGTGATTAACTCATATATAACTGTACAGAAGAATGAAGATTGTCTCAACTAAAACAAACAACAATGATGATTATAGTTTTCAAAAATCTAATTATTAATTAAGATCATGAACCGATCAATGTTAGACCACCAGTGAAAAGCTGAAAGCACACGGAAGTTAATGTCTAACTTCAAACAATACACCATGTCATGCAACCATCCTACACTATCTTCTTTCAGTAAATGAATCACACTAGACACAGTTCAACTCCACTGACAACCACCTCTCACTAGAACTACAAGAATCACCCCTCGTGGTTAGTCAACAGTGAGCACATGATAATTATCAATGTAGGGTTGTGGAGATTATTGAGTTTTAATTGAGATATTGAATTAATCAATGTTAGATAGCCACTGAATATTATTCAAAAAAATCAAGCAATTACTGTTAATTAGTGTCAATAATTAACAATTCTAACAACAGACTAAACCAGTTTATGAATTATATAATGTATCTAAGTTTTGATGTTTTTTTGTGACAGCTTAGAATTTTGTTTCACTTATTACTGTTTAGGTAACTACGTAATAACAGTAGCTTTTATAAGAGCAGTTGTGTCTCAACTAGTAATAGATAAATAAATTATACCTAATCGAAATTTATTTGCATACATTTGATCTATAACAATAATACCCAGCTTCTTGACATAAATACCATTGTACATGTCAATGAATAAATTATGTTGTCTAAATATGAAATTAAACAATGAACAATTTGGTAATAACAAGAATACTAATCACAGCAATATTGTTGTCGCCAACATCAAACAACAATACATTGTCAACTACACAATTAAATTAGGTTTACTATCGGGACTAATTCATTTTATTGAATATGCACATTGAAAAAGTGTTCAGTGAATTCACAAGTTAAACAATGAATATGAAACAGAGATTTCATATTTATAATTCTATCACAGCATAGATTGATTGGCATTAAATGGTAAGAATGTTGAATAAACTATACGATAAAAAACGGAGACCATTCTATTCATAAAAATTTATTTTTACATTATCTGAATTAGGGAATGATAAATGGATCAATCAAAACGTTACAACATATGACTTTTAATGTGATTCGTTAAGTATATTTTGTCGACATGAAGCCTTACTCTTGTGATAATTGTTGACATGAGTTCAAATTACTCAACAAAACAGCAGTCTCCTCAAGATTCAAGATATGCTTTATTAACGAGTACCAAGTAGCATAAAATCTTAGTCCCGAGAATCATGTCAACCGCTTTCAACTGCATAACATACAGATAACGTCAAGTTATTTAGACTAATAACTACATTGTCACTTGATCGATATTATTCGCTAAGCAATGATTACTATACATACATACATAGGATTACTTATTAAATAATCAATGCTATATATTATTTTTCAAATTTTCCGAAATTGTGCTCAATTTAAGGAGTCCCATACTAGAACAAATTGTCATCCATTGCTTCCAGGTTTTCAATGGTATTCTAGCTTAGATGAACTCGCTAATTCAACATATAACTCAGTAGTGAGACTCAGATTTTTATACTCAACTTGGACTAGCACTTTTAAGTCAAAAAGCAATCATACTAATTGATGACTATCTATAGAGAAATATTTCAAATTGTATCTAAATGTACAATCCCAGTGCTTGAAATTTTGACGTTTTTGACTTAAAATAATCATGACAGAGAAAAGGAATGCTTTTGGGCGAATAATAATAAATGGATCAAGTTTGAACGAAGAAGAGTTCCATCAACTACTAGAAAACAATATTCCCTTCTTATGACAAACAGATTTTAAACACATATACAGTAGTATAAAACTTTTTAGAAAATAATTATTTATAAAACTTTTAACAGTTACATAAAGTGAATAATTTTATTGAATAATAAGATTATACTATATAAATCATTTTAAAGTTGGTAAATCTATAAACCTTGAATACTTAACCCCAGTATAACTAATCTAACATAACTTTTATTATTTTCAATTTTAATCATTTCATTTTTGAAATATTTTCTTTTTCTTTTTTTCTTTTTTTTTATAAAAAGAAAGCTAGTGTATCATCATCATATTAAAATATTTGTTTTAATCAGCTTATATTAGAAAATCTTGTCAAATTTAAACTACAAAAATTAAAATGTGAAAAATGTAAACATTAAGAATATTGAAAAGTTTACGAAAAACAATCTATATAAAACTATACTTGTTTATATGTATTTATTGGTGCATTGACAGTTTTGATCAATAGCACATATACGCTTATAAACACAAACACAAAAATAGTAAATTATACATCATTTTATCCTTTACATTCTAATCGTGCTTACACTTTTTCTTTCTTTTTATTTAGTAAAAATATTTATTCGGCTTATAAAAACATTCTTTAAAATGACCTAGAAAAACTACAATTTATTTCAACTGGCATTTGTTTTTGGGTCAAATAGAATTGTACATGAATGAGAGGTGGAGAAAAGAGGGTAAAGGAAGAACGAACCATATGATATATATATATAACATATTTTGAAATTAAGTATATTTTACCAATAATGAAATGATGTCATTTTTTAAAGAAAATAAAGAGAAGGCTGAAAGGAATCTATTAGTTAAATCAATTTTGTGAAATACCCGCAAGGTAAATTATATATATATATATATATATATATATAACTTTTATTATTAATTTCCTTGACTAAATTAAGTTAGATATCATGGACAATACTCCAATATACCTGGTTGTGTATGTATATGTGAGCGCTCGAGACTATAAGAAAGAGTTATTTAAGCTTAAGCATTAAAATCTATTAGCAACGCCCAATACTTCAAATAAAAGTTTAATAAGAAATAAAACGAGAAATCCATCTATACTATTTCCTAAAAACATTGAGTGATTGTAAATAACTGGTAATGGATGATAACAGATTAGAGGATCCTGAAGAAAAGAATAACGGAATAGATCTATTATAATTCATGAATACCATGAGGATATTCTTTTCTTTAGATCATTTCATTGTTTAATATTAAACATTCAGAAGGTGTCATACAAGAAACTAGTGTTTTCAATTTCAATGAATGAGTACTTTCATAGTTTTTCTTTACATACAACATGATCATTTAAATGACGGTTGTGAACAAGTTTTTTTCCTATAAACACATTTTAATTTCTACAATTCCCATCAGAGTCTGTTTAAGCCTAAACCATTTAATGCTAACAGATAATTTTCTTTTATCATTGACAACTTAAATAAACACCGAATTAAATTTTCTTTCAAATAAATAAGATAGAATGTAAGAGTACATTTTCAGAAGTTTGACCAATTCTTTGCGAACAACAACGAAGAAAAAGTGACTATCGAATCCTTGTTAACTTAAATTACATAGAAATAATCTGATCATTGATAGAAAACAATATTAATTTTCAAAAGAAAATCATGCTTGATTAATAGTCGAAAAATCAATAAATCATCCGTATTCAAAATTGGTTGGTTGATTGATTGATAAACAAGAAATTGACAATATTATGAACTGTTGAAAAAATTTCCTCAAAGACATCTGAATTTGTAGTTCGGTTTACATTTGACCTGTGGTTTAATTTTTTTCTAATGTCGAAAAGATTGAAATTCACTAGGAAATCATTCAAAATTGTTCAAGTATCTTTTCTTAGTCTGGAACTTTTCAGAAATGACAAATAGTCACAACCATGAGGCTGCGCAGTGAGTCGAATTTCACATTGTCCAACAATTTACTACTTTAATCTATTTTAAAAACAACACGAACCTTACAAAATATCCTCGGAGAATTAGTATTTCATTTGTGACCACCTTAAATCTGTAAGCCACATCCATCTCGAATCAAGTCAATTGTGTGTATACATATTCATTATTTAACCAGGTTAACATCATAATTTGAAAAAGAAACGTTTTTTCTCTTTTCGGAGCACATTGCATAATCATAATCATTCCATCAATGTATGTATTACTTATTTAATTGTTTTCTGTGAAGAATTTTCAGTTGTCTAAATTATTTCATGCCGCCAATCAATGTATTGATTATGTCGAATACATACTTTTCATGTTTAATTATCTGAGTTTAATTATATGTACAATACTTCTAACCCTAAATTTGTCGATTCCACATAACGAATACAAGTTATAGTAAGTGAGATCAAACTAAATATCCACTCAGATGAGTAACTAATTGAATTATTGTCACTGAGCCCGAACATTCACTGATAAACCTTAGAATTACTTATATATTGTTGCCACTGCAGGCCTACAATTCTTAGAAGACAATGATGACGGAACACGGTGAATTGAAAAACATCCTTACTTTGAAGGGGCCCAATTTTTGAATCATATAGCAGAATTGTAGTCATGAATTTATTGTATACCTGACTTTTTACGGCCAGGCTAGAATAATGACAACGAAAAACGGATGGCCCGAATTGGGCTAAGCAGCTATGATTTTATCCGGCACACCATCAAAAGCAATCAAACAACTACCACGATACACGAACCTTATGACTTCTTCAAACAATTTACAACAAAAAGTGAGCATGATCACATAGCAGTTTCGTAAAAGTAATCCACAAGTCAAATGCACTAATTGCATACCGTACTGACAGACACTATCTTCCAACTGATTAAGTACAATTTAGGTTACTTGCATATCATGGAACAGTAAGACAATGTCACCCCATATATTCAAGGTCAAAATGTCTTGCTTCGGGTGACAGATACATACCACTATCACGAAGTATTCCCTTCAAAGCTGTTTCTAGAAATTTATTCATAGAAAAACTCAAAATCACCCGTTTCTAAGCAATATTTGAAATCTAAAAAAATTGTTGCTACAGACAATATCGTATTATCAGTTTAAACAGATTAATTAGAATGCAATTCTCAATATCAACAACAAACAAATATTAACACCGACAACAGCGATAATAATTCTGATTGCGCTGATGAATCGGTTAAAGTTAGACCACCATTGAAAACCTGGAAGTACAGGATGGCCGTTTTGTCCTAGTATGGGACACGATGCCACACACGGGATTTGAATCATTGAGTCAACAGTGAGTCTAGAGGTTAAGCGTTTGCGCGCGAGACAGAACGTCCTGGGTTTGAGTCCGTGTGTGGTATCGTGGATGCACACTGATGAAGAGTCCCACACTAGGACGAAACGGCCATCCAGTACTTTCACGTTTTCAATAGTGGTCTAACATCGATCAATTTATGATCTCAACATTCTCCACAACCCTATACTCATAAAAACTCTCATAAACAATTCAAAAAATCATAAACACAAATACATATGCACTTACTGAATATTCTAGCCATCATGAAATAGTTCAATTTTAATTTATGGAATAAATCATATTCATTCATTATTTGTAAACCAATATCACGAATGGTATAATCTGAAGTTACAATTTTATCGTTAAAAATGGAAATAAAAACGAGAAACAAGATTAAGGACAAATTACAATAAAATGAAACTGATGATTGTCAGGAATAATAGAAAATCAACAATATGATTATTACTAAGCCGTTACCTCCTCTTTTTAGCCACGCCGAACAATGTTCTTGAATTCTTTTGGATAAAGTACGCATCGAACGATCTATATACCTAGCTCCACATGAGCAGGTAAATTGGTAAATGCACATTGAGTTGATCAGATGCGATAATTTATCTTTCAGATTATTGGTAAACAATGATCGGCTGGAGAATAATATTCTCAATTTTGCTGCGGAGAATGTTCTTTTTAAAGAGTCCGAGATTCTCCTCTTTAAGACATATGTGGCTCTTTCTCCTTTGAAGTCGATGTTTATGTATAGGGTTTTCTTTTCTACTGTAATTATTTGCGTTTTTGGCGTTCTCGGCCTCAAGTTCTTATCAATGAATATCGAAGGATACCCGTTTTTGATAAGTATCTCTTTTAAAAGGCCCAATTCTTCATCTATGACTTCGGGGCTACAGATTCTTCGTATTCTTGTAGCGAGTGTTATTATTAAGTTTATTTTTTGGTTGATGGGAACCCAGCTGTGGAAACTTGATAGTTGGCCATTCCACATGGGTTTCCTGTAGATAGATCTTTTTAAAGTACCATCTTGCTTTCTTGTCATTTCCACATCGAGAAAGTGAATATTTTGTTTGTTTTCAACTTTAAGTGTGAATTTTATTGATGGGTGACAATTATTAAATGTATTTAGGAGATGACTTAAGTCCTCAAATCAATTGTAAGCCTGTTTTATATTTCTAAATAAAGTATAAGTATATTTTTCTAGTTAGCATTTTTTAGCAAGTTAGTTTTCTACGGGATGTGATCGCTAACCCCATGCCCAACCCTCCTCCTTTATCCGAACATGGAACGTAAGTAGCCTCAGAGGGGCTCCGGGCAAGAGCAGTATATTTACAACTGCAGAACATTCGGAACTCAAAACAATTGGCAACCAACACCAAAGTCATGATTTTCAATACAAATGTCAAGACAGTTCTACTGTATGGGGCCGAAACTTGAAGAACTACGAAAGCCATTATCCAGAAGATACAAGTGTTTATTAACAGTTGTCTATGCAAAATACTTCAGATCTGTTGGCCAGACACTATCAACAACAACCTACTGCGGGAGCGAACAAATCAGATCCCACGGAGGAGGAAATCAGAAAGAAGCACTGGAAGTGGATAGGACACACACTGAAGAAAGCACCCAACTGCGTCACAAGGTAAGTCATCACTTGCAATCCTCAAGTCCAAAGGAAAAGAGAAAGACCAAAGAACACATTACGCCGAGAAGTGGAGACAAATATGAGAAGAATAAACAACGATTGAATAGAACTAAGAAGGAAGACCCGGGACAGAGTAGGTTGGAGAATGCTAGTCAATGGCCTATGCTCTATTGGGAGTAACAAGCCTAAGTAAGTTAGTATTTTATACATTTTGAGCGTTTGGTAAATTTAAAAACAACGAGACAAATAAAATGGATAAAGTAACATCAATTCATTAAATTTCAAGGTATCCACGAGGTTTTCTAAATATATTCCTTAAAAACTGTGTCTGAAAAAAGTATAACTTTCATAAGTGCAATCATTAAATATTTAATAGATAATGGACTCAAAGTGGATATCACAAAGGCGTATAAAACAAATAATAAACAGAGAACACCGCTTTTGCTATTTATTGCAAAGCCTATTGTCATGAAGTGCTTTCAATCTAACCTTTGTATACAGAAAAAAAGTGTGGTCAACCTTTCGTTGCAATGGTGGAAGAATTATATTGTTTTAACGTTTGTCTATTACTTAATCTTTTTATTGTATTGTATATTTTGAAAAGTTCAATTAGCATTCAGTTACAATGTTAGCTTGAATTTCATATAAACTGAAATGTGTTATTAAAAACCATTTGCTTTTCAGTCTGTTTATTATCATTTACGACATTATCCCTTTTCTTAAATGACTTTAAATTAAATAATATAAATACTAATTAATCTTAACTATTATGTTCAATATAGTATTACCTCTTCTTGTTCTCAGTGTTTTTTGGTGTAACTTCAAACTAAACTTCTTGTATGTTAATGTTTTTTATTAACAATGTAACTAACGATAATTTCAAACTGTTTACAGTGGCTGAGTTTATGTTAACTTCTTCTTCTCATATTTTGTAGCTTATTATTCTGATTTTATATCTTTATCAACCTAGTGTGGTGTATGTTGTAATTTCTTATTAATGATACATTGTAGCTTTGTAATTTATGCATTTTAATCACGTGAATTTTTTTTCGAGTCACATACATATAGTGCATTGGGTAGTTTTATTCTGCCCTTTTAACTTTAACCTATAAGACAGTGATTTCTGAATAGGTCAACAAGGTTAATCTGTCAAGTTATTTGATCGTAAGATTAAGAGCATTGGTCAAGCCATTAGCAGCCTGAGAGGTCATATTAAGATATATATGTTCAATCGATGATATCGGTGATGATATCTTTGATCGTCATCAGTGAAACTATTGGTTCTTTTAAGAGTTCATTTGCTAATTTTGATTTGTTAACAGATTGATTTATGTTGAACAACACAAGTCCATCATGAAATTATAATAATCAATTCATATAGTTAACAGTTCAATAATTTGTTGTTTAATAGAAAAAATTACTTTGATAAATAAATTTCATATTTATTTTACTTATCATGATCTATGCTCAATTTATATGTCGATAATTAATGATTGTGAAAATCATCAAACTTCATGACGGGACAAGCCCTAACTTGGAATCCTGAAGGGAAACAGAGAAGAGGAAAACCAAAGAACATACTGCGCCAAAAATCGGAAGCAGACACGAAAATAATAAATAACAACTTGAAAGGATTTCCCAGGACAGAGTTCGATGGTGAGTGCTGGTGGGAGTCCTATGCTACACCGCGAGAGGTAACAGATGTAATTGATGCGTAAGTAAGGGATCAATGATACACAACAGTTCATAACTTATAATGCTATTTGATATTATTTCGAAATAAACTGTATTTTAAAAATTAACTTCACTAAATGAAAATTAAGTAACTTAAAAACTTGTTCATACACAACTAAAATTTAGTCAAATAATAATTTATCATTTATCCTACTAATACTGTAGGCTAAAAAACCCTAAAAGTATTTGAATTCAATGGAGATAAGTCACTTTTCTATTCCTGTAAATAATGGTCATTTAAACGCATACACTAAACAGATTAAATGAATGAATATAAATTATTGTAAATTATTCCATGCCGTTTGTTATAATTTCATTTAGAGTCTATTAAAAAACGTTGAAATAAACTCATTGTCTTTCTATCATTTCAAGAATTAACAATTCCATATACACAATAATGATTTCATATGGATTAAATCGTAAATTCAGTCGGTATTATCACAATTGAGTTCACAAGTCGATCTAAGCTAGACCACCACTAAAAACTTGAGAGCACTCGACGGCCATTTCGTCTTAGTATGGGACTACTCGACAGTGCACACCCACGATCCAATATGGGGCACTCAAACATAGAATATTCGGTCTCCACTGAGCTGGCATCCAACAGTGTTAATGTCTAACTTCAAATTATCCATGATCTTGCTCAACCCTTCATCTATTGTCTGTGGTGGATAACTGCTTCACACCTCATAAGGTCACGTTTACTCCCTAGAACTCCAAAAATTTCATCTTGAAGTTAGTCAATAGTAAGCACATGATCATTATCAGTGAAAATTGTGGTATTTTCACATTTAAATTTAAAAAATTAATCTATGATAATACTATAATCGTCATAAATTCTCATATTGTTTATATTACTTCAGTTTACGATTCATGAAATAAAATAATTTTTACACTGATTATTTAACCTATTATTAATTGTTAAAAGGAAAAAAACAAACTAACAACCCAACAACAACAAAAAATAAAAAATCAGGCATATAATTATTTCTACTAGATAACAAGAATATAGAAAAACAATCTTAGTAATTAATTTATAGTTACATGATGACAACAACAAAAAAAAACATACAAAATTATATAAAACTTACTAGAAGTTATTCGTTTCAAATGAAAAATGTTAAAATCCCAATTATTTAAATTTTTAATCTGTAAAATAAAACAAAAAAATAAATAGAGAAAATGAACTTCTGCAAAATAAACAGACAAACAAAGTTATTTTTAAAAATAAAAAAAAACATAAAAAGAAAAAAAGCTTTTCTTACATAAATCTTAATCGTATATAATTAATTATAAATGAACTATTTTACGTAAAGATGACAAAAAATTAATATAAAAGTAATTCTCAATATAAAAAGATATTACTAAAATGACTGTTTGAAATCAAAGGGTAATGATAAGATATTGCGTCATCAGTTTAATATTTCATAGTATTGCATATGCGAGAAAATATACGGGGTCGATCAATGTTAGACCACCAGTGAAAACCTGGAAGCACTCAAAAGTCAATTCATCCTAATATGGAACACCTCGCTACTGCACACCTACGATCATGCACACAGGATTCGAACACAAGACCGTCTCTCTCGCGCGTGAACGCCTAATCTCCACACCACTGAGCCGGCATTCAACACTGTTAATGTCTAACTTCAAACAATACACCATGTCATGCAACCATCCTACACTATCTTCTTTCAGTAAATGAATCACACTAGACACAGTTCAACTCCACTGACAACCACCTCTCACTAGAACTACAAGAATCACCCCTCGTGGTTAGTCAACAGTGAGCACATGATAATTATCAATGTAGGGTTGTGGAGATTATTGAGTTTTAATTGAGATATTGAATAAATCAATGTTAGATAGCCACTGAATATTATTCAAAAAAATCAAACAATTATTGTTAATCAGTGTCAATAATTAACAATTCTAACAACAGACTAGATCAGTTTATGAATTATACAATGTTTGTTAGTTTTGATTTTTTTTCTAATTTTCGGACCAGCAGTATGTGACAGCTGCAAATTCTATTTAACTTATTACTGTTTAGGGTAACTAGGTAATAACACTAGCTCTTATAAGAGCAGTTATGTCTCAAAAATTGATTATATCAATGCTAGGACGAAACGGCCGTCCAAGACTTCCAGGTTTTCAATGATGTTTCATGTTAAATCGACTCATGAGTGCAACTATTAAAAATTACTACCATCTTTACCAACCCACCTTCCGAAAATAAAAATTTATCTGAAATGGCAGATAGATAGATAGACAATCATTCAATATCACTATTCCAAGGGTTTTTTCCACCAAACTATGCAGTATAACCTATGATAATTAAACGGTAATAGTGATAATACTGTTCGGTTGTATACGAAACGGATTACAAAGCACTTATGACTAAATTGTTGAGAATAAAATATTTACACTAATAAAGTATGTAGTTATATGAGTTTTAAATAGAGTTGTCATTGGTAATAGTTGATTGTTTTGACATAACGTCTCGACTTACATAATAAAAAGTATAAAATTATTAACTTCTATGATATAGACGGTAATATTTTTAATGAAACTTTATGACATTGTGTTTGATTCATGTGTTACAGACCTTCTAAATAATTAAAGAAACGAATGATTGATTCTTTATTTTTAGTATTGTTATGATGAATATATGGTGTCTGAAAATTGTTGTCATGACCTGGATAGTTCAGTGGTAACGTCTTAGATTGTCATACTAGGAGGCTCACGTTTGAATATACGAAGAAACGGCAGTTCATTCAAGATTACATGAACACCAAGGTGGTCAGTATTGGAGAGCATGAGACCTAGGTTTGTAGTTTCCCGATGACTATATTTAACACGTAGTATTTCGAAATAGTTCACCTGATATCCAGTCACTTAGGTTAGTGACCAAAAAGAAACTTAATATGTAGAAATATACTTTATCTGATCAGGAATTATGTAAACATTGCTCCGTTTAAACAATAAAAACTCTAACTATTACTACTGTAAAATTATTATGAACTAAAAAAAGTATACCAAACGATTTGTTTATGCAAAATTATTTGACTGAATTATTGTCAAGAATTTATTGTAAACTAATATTTTCTTAACATAGTATATTTACTCGAACTGAATCCAGACATATAGTACGACGTAATTCCTTGGTGAAATATAGACTTATCTATATACCGAATATCATTGACCATAAAAATTTTCAGAATGGCGAAAAATCACTTATGAAGTAAATTAAAACTTAATTATGTTGACCGTATTATTTTTCGATAGAAGAATAAGAAGACGGAGTTTATCAAAAAAAAGTAATGTATTTGCGCTATACATTTTGAACAACAGTGCAAATACATAGATTTTATTAGATACACTCCGTCTTCTCAATGTTCTATTAATATTCATAAAAGGGACTCTACATTGTTTTTACCATTGTTACGCGATAACAAAAATTAAAAATGGTGATATAATTCTAACTCTATACATGGTTGAAATCTACCAGTTCCAGCCTCTCACTAAAATTGTAAAATATCAACCATTAAACCTAGTTACGGATAAGTATGTGACTACTATTTGGTTGGACAGGATAAAAACCATTGGTGTGTAAGAATAAAGTATCACAAACTACAACAAACAAGCTATTCAGAGATCCAACAGTCCTTCAACTAATATCAGTCTATTACAAAATTTAATTTCATTACTTAATCGACCTTTAAGAACAGTCCAACTAAATTATAAACATTTAATTTCATCATATCCGTAACATTCATACCTTTACATGTCCAACTGGATGATCTATAAAACTAAGGTGAATTTCATCGACTATTCTTTCAACTGTTTGTGATTTCTTTACGTCTTCTTTTGAATTATCAAGATTGCACATATTTTTTGAATTTTTATCTTCATACAAATAAAATAATTGTATTGTCCCAGCCATTTGTTCACTTTGTTGACAAACAAATGAATTAAATGAATTTGATCGATAACGAATTCGTCTACATGATGAATTTTTTATTCTTTGTAAATCTGAATTTCAAGGAATAAAAAAGAATTACTTGGATTAGAAATTTGACCATAATGACAATGATGATATAAAAAAGTATAGGAATGAAAAAGTCGACATTACTTCGAATGTATTACAAAATGAACCTAAAATTTGTTTGAGCGTTAAGTGGTTGAAATTAATCGACACAAATCTCTGGACCTAGTTTTCGTGTTAGGCGGTACTGTTACCGGAAAATGTTATCTTTAATCATGAGGGAATTGATGTTCATAGTTAGAGAGGTTATTAGTGAATTATTCCGGTCAAGACTGACATAGTTACACGTCTTTTAATTCCAGTCGGTCGACTTGCTAACAGAACAACGCAAATGATAAAGATTCGGCTTCACTGTTGATTAAACGTGACCTTATTTTCTGTGAGAAGTGTATCTATAGTCACGAATGAATTTTGCACGTATTTTTGATTCAGTTAACAAATAAAAGCTTCCTACTTATTCACGGTCTTCCGACTCAAGCAGCTGGTTCAAGCATACAAATAGGAAGTGTACATATCAATAGCAGACCCGGACATTCTCACAGCCTAAGAAAATAAAGATGCAAACGGTAAACCAGGAAACACCAGTTTTGTGTTGAGTATTCACTAGCTACTGCACAAAAATTAAATATCTAGTTTAACTATCGTTCACTTTTTTTAAATAATGGTTATCTTTCCGTGAATGGTAGAAGTGGTTAATAGCATGGCAACGGTGTTATCGAACGGATTCAGACTCGAGGTAATTACGGTTATTTTCCTTGATTATCTAACGCTTTATAATTAACCCCATAAAATCCTATCATTTTATAAAAAAAATTGTTAATAAGATCAATTTGTAAAGAATAAGTCACATACGATCAATGTATGATCCATCAAACTGATTTGTTTCTTTTTTAACCAATCAGAGCTTGAGAATGTCTCTAGATGATCGTATAATTTCATAAGCCTACCCTGTATATACTAAAATTTTCCTATGTGATTCTTACATAAACGCTTATATATGTATTAATAAACACTTTTTCCAGCTACTGCCTTGTGTTAAAAATTGTTCCTTGTTCACGAATTCATTCAATCGAACTAAAGCAAACCAAGTGAAAATAAGTTATAAACAGACAAATATGTTGTTTGTGTTCACACTGCTTAATTTATATTTTTAAAAATCAAAAATAACCGAAACTGTTATTTTCACCATTCAATTAGATAATTGTGGACAACTAAATATATTGCATGATTGTAAGCAGGGATGGATGGTGACCAACAGTGAAATCCAAGATGCACGTTTCGTCCTGTTGGGGACTCGTCAACCGTGTGTATCTTCATCTCAGAGTCGACGTCCACTCCGTAACTCAAACTCAGTACCGTTAGCGATGGTGTTTAAAGTGAACGGCACTGGGTTCGAGTCCTGAAGTGAACATCAACTTTGGGATGCAGGTACATCTGGCTGACGAGTCTCCAACAGAAAGAAACGCGCATCCTGGATTCCACTGAGAGCCACCATCCATCTTTACATATAATGCTTGTGACTTATGGCAGTATCAAGGCAATCCCCACAGAATGCACATATACCAATAACAGATTGATCAATTGCAATCTCAAGCATCAATGGGAAGATTCAAACAACCAAGCAAAAATGAACTACATGACTACATATATTAATTGATTAGAAGTTAAGAACCCGTTATTTGATTTTTATCAAAAATAACCTCTAAAATAAATATAATACTGGACATTTATTGACCAATAAACAATTATAACTCTGCATAGATGATATCAACTCGCCTATACAAATGTAATGACCGAAAAACAATCAAAATTTTCTGTAAACTATCCATTATCCAGCTCAAGAGTAATCGAATTTATGAACACAGACACATACATTCATTGTTAACGTTTTCAAACACTTTATGCTTACATCTTTCATGTTATCGTTAAGTGCACTAAACTGACTGGTATGGCATTTATCAGTGTGGGGTTGTGGAGATTAGTAAGTTTCTTATCAAACCATGAGTGTATGATTGAGCAAGTAAAGGATCAATTGACTGATTATTTGGATATGAGTTAGTATAAGACATGGCAAAAAATAAGAAAGCCAGTTGAGTAAAACTGAAACTTTGTAGTTGGAAAATCAAAGCGCTTTTCATAATCTGTCGTAAATTATTTATTTGTACGCATATTCGTCAATATTAGAACGAGTAGTTTAACAGAAATTAGACACCGAGTATAGAGAAGACATTATATGTAAAAATTATATTTGAAATAATCTCAGCTATTGAAATTTAAATCACCTCAACGTTTCGTCCAACAAAATTGCCTGTTCTTCTTCAGGATAACAATCAAAATCAAATAATTTCAAATATAATTTTCATACAAATTATTTATTGTGTATATAAATAATTAAAAAATAAACAGTATAGAAGCTGAGAAAAAATATGTGAAACTATGTCATCGTGTTATTATGGCTTTTGTTATTTTCTTGAATTTTTGAAGAAAGATTGTCAGTATAGGGTTATGAAGACTGTTGAGTTTAGATTGATATCATGATTACGTCATCACCGACCTGGTCGTCTAAAGGTTAAGCGTTCGTGCGCGAGGCCGAAGGTCCTGGGTTTGAGTCTGATGTGGAAGTAGTGGATGCGCACTATTAAGGAGTTCCATACTAGGGCGAAATGGCCGTCCAGTGCTTCCAGGCTTTCAATGGTGGTCTAACATTCATCCATTCATGATATCAATCTAAAGGAAAATAGTTTGAGTCACAAAATTTTTATGGAATCGAAAATCACCATAGAATTTAGATGACGGAATAAATTATTTTCTTTAAAATCTTTGCGAATAAATTCCAACATCTATATTTGATTTGATTGATTAAAGCACGTTTAATAGTAGTATAAAAGTTTTGTGAAAATTGTTCAATTTGAAGGTGATTTAGAGTATAAACTGTAGCTAGACAATCATTAGCGAACAAGAAGATATGGTTAACTCTATCGTCCTGGCCACATAAAGTATACTTAACTTTTAGAGTTTTCGACCATTAGGTGTCATTTATGTTGTTCAAAGTCTAAGCTTTGTCATAATGATTAAAAGTCTTGAGTTTGATTCATGATTGGAGGGTTCTGTAATTGGATAAAGTAACTCTCTTGCTCTCAAAAGTCTTCTAGCAAAATCCAGTCCCTTATTTTAACTGTGGATTACATGTAAATAATTAATAGTTATAAATATGTTTTTCTTATGCGATACACAGCTTTTAATGTTTCCATACTTCACTAAAAATTAATATCGTGAGTTTAAGTGAGAGTAACAGATTATCAAAAGTCAAAGCGTTTTTATCCCAATCACAACATTTTACAAAGTTGCTAACCAGTGCAGAGAAAATAAGATTAACTTGAATGTAGAATTTTGTTAGGTCCAATGTAACTTCAAAGTAAGTATAAACCAATCTTTAAATCAAAATACGTGTATTCAGTTTACGTTTATCTAAAGAGTGAAGTGATGAATTGACGTTTATCCACTAAGAAACAAGTTCCAAACCACATATTACTTATACTATATCAAACAACTACGTAGTATGACTGAACATCATGTTAAAAGTTTAGCGGGAAAACGGATATGTGCAAATCTGGAACAAACTATGTTCGGAATAGTCCAATTACTGGAGAAACACCAGTTAAATACGTGTTGAATCTATAACTTGTTAAATTTTCATTTTAAAGTTTTTATAAAATGAGTAGTCAGGAAAAATTAGAACTTAATATATTCCACCTTCTCAAACTACAACTTAGTGAATAGACTACGGGGGACATTGTCAAAAGAAGAGGAAAATATATAGATAACCTTAGAAGAATGTCGAAAGAGATTTCTGAAGCGTACAAACAACAAACAATTGAAGACATAGAACAGCAGAGTAGGAAACGTTTGAAACTATTCAAGTACTGAATATATTTAGACTACTTCAACTGATTCTCAATCACATGCTTTCAAAAAATAATTCCAGTTTCCTATTCTTAAGCCTCTGGCGAAGAAGTCCATATTCCTTTATAAAAAATACCCAGATCAACAGCTAAGCAACTTTATAAGGGAATATGAAATATTTTAATCTGAGCTTTTTTGAAATGTCTACAACCTTCTTTTACTCTAAAGAGTATGTTATAACTAATCATGTATTACATCTACTCTAACCAATAAGATCGATAATTAATTTGTCACCATTTACCTACTACTCAATAACTAACATTAAAATTCGTTATTTGTTAGTTCTATCAAAAATGAATGTGACAATTTGAAAGTATTTATCATCAAAGAATTGTAAGAGAATGATGTGTAACTAGTGAAAATAAATTTGATTGGCCACTGAGAGTAAACTGACAGACAGCTTACTAGCAATTCAATTTTTAATTTTTTTTTATTGCTATTGATTTCTACAATAGACACAGTAAGTGTAGTCTACTTGTAATTGTAATGAATAAAGTATTGTCTTGTTTATACTCTGGTTCTCTGTATTTGATCATATATTTGAATCCTATATCAGCATAACGTGATCTAGTCGGTTGAGCATCTTTATGGTAATATAAATGTTGGTATTTTCGCATTATAATAGTACAGTGTGGCAAATAGAAAATTATTTTATTTTGTTGTAATATCAGAAAATAAAAATTCATGTCATCCATTCTAATGAATAATGTATCATACATACTATGTTACATATAAAACTTCTGTAACAAAAATATAATACAAACAGAAGTATAAATAGAACTAAATGAATCAATTTGCACACTTCCAGTAAAATATATAAAACAAAATAGATACCTTAATATAATTAGTCTACACTTAAATCAAGACAAAACATTGAAATTTACTTCCTTTAAAATTGTATTACATCATTTAGAGTATATATTTATATGTATGTAATCTCTTTTGCTTTACTCTCGCTTATCCTATACTTTATATGTATTGCAATTTGTCTGCAAAGAAGAAAAAAGCTCATCAAGAGTTGATT